AGCTTGTCGTTTTGCCCACATAGGGCCTATTATGTACTGTTAGTTTTCTCTGGGGACTCTTTAACTTTAGAGCCATTTCTTTTCCTTCAAACTGATGAACTTTGTGTTTGAAAGGCCTAAGGAGTGAAAAGCTCCTTGAAAATCCAGGCGGGTATGGAAAGGTGCTGCTACCCATATCTTTTTGACTTTCTTTGTTTCATGACTTTAACTCATGGCATCTCCTTTGTAGTAAAAGGAGACAGACCATTAATTTCAGCATTTCTTTGTGATTTATAAGTACTGAGCATGAAGTACTTGTCTGCCCCTCCTCATTTCAAGGCCAGTTATTTTCTATTTGTGTATTTAGTCTAGGCTGATCCTTTAGGGCACAATAGAAACCATGGGGCGTGGAGCATGAGTTGTGAATGGCAGGGATCATTCTGGGTAAAAAAAACCTAGAATCATTTCTCATGTGCAACACTGTCAAGTGAAGAAGCTAACAGTTCAACTGCAGAGATTATTTGATAACCTGGGTTTTCTCATTCATCCATCAAGCACCATCAACCAATCAGCCATTATTATTTATATTATGTATTACCAAAAGCAGTCTGTCTGCCTGTGACCTCCAATGTACACTGCCAAACACAAGAGTAGGACACATCCCTTCTGGGTTCTTGACCTGTCTGTCTCCAATTCATCTCCCCTTTTCACTCCCTGGCTCACTCAACAAACTACTCTTTAGAGCTCTGAGATGACATCTTGTTGTTTTATATAGATGTGTCTTTTAAAAATAGTTCATGTTTGGAGAATTCTTTTGTACTCATTTGCTTTTTGTCTGAGAACCATGTCTATTTTTATAACTGGAGTGTGAGTTCTGTATCTTCTCACATTCTGTATACTGTATCCATTTTCTAGAGAACCCAGTAGCTTTTATACAGTCTCTTCTTACCACCCCTTGTGGTTTCAGAACAAGCTTTATTTTATTACGAGTATACTAATGACAACTAATTCCTGTTCCAACTCTACCTGTTTTAGTTGTGCAGGTAGTTTTGTGTAATCCAGTTGATTGCTCCTCTGGCAGAGAGAAGGAGCTCAAAAGACACTTGATGTCTTTCATGTAAGTTTACCTGGTCTTTTCCTATTGAAGAATTTTTCATCAGAAATGATTGGGAAAGTTTGGGAAAGTCAGCCAAAAGAAAGAATTCATTTCGAAAGCAAACAGAAGAAAATAGTATATTCTCTCAGTTTTTCCCCAGGAAGTCTGGAGAAAAAGTCCTCATGTCACCAGTTTCTCTGTTGCATGAATTTTAGTGTTTTGCTATAAGACAGCATGAGGGCTATCAGGCCAAAATTCATTATTGTATTTCCAATACAGTTTGTCTTGAATGTCTGTCTCTTAAACCAATTTTTACTTGTCAGTTTTCTCTCAGCAAACAGTCTTACTGTTACGTGGAATTTTAACTTTTCAGAGAAAATTTCCAAAGTCCTCTACCTTATTTGGCTTTTATCTCTGTCTTTTGGAAAAGGAGCTGCATGGCCTCAGTGCCTCCATAACAAGCTAAAGTTGAGTTCATGGGAGAACATTGACATCATTTTTTTCCCCTTTAGCTAGGTAATCTCATATACCACAGGTACATGACCAAGCATCTCTGCTAGAGGATGTACCTCTCATAACTCCTGTGTAAAATGAGGATCCTGTTGGTGATTTTCATTCCAGTTTCCAAAGCGAGAGGAGCCTTCTGAGCAGAAGTATGCAAGACTGATTCTGTTTGGAACAGTTTCCTATTTGGCTGCATTCTAGGAGGCCTCCTGACTTACTCATAGTATTGTGCCCTGGTGGCATTGGTGGGGTAGCTTGTCTTGCTACTTGCTAAAGTTCTATTTCTTTGAGAAAACTGAGGAACTAGAATGCTTAAGAGTTCATAAAATAATCTCTAAACCATGTTAGGTTAAAACAAAATGACCATCTCACAAAAACGAGTTTAGTTGAATGCTCAATTCCTTAAAAAATCTTCATTTAAGGCTGAGTGTGGTGGCTCATACCTGTAATCCCAGCACTTTGGGAGGCCGACGCAAGAAGACTGCTTGAGCCCAGGAGTTCAAGACCAACCTGGGCAACATAGGAAGACTCCATCTCTACCAAGAAATTTTATTACAAAAGTAGCTGGGGATGGTGGCACATACCTGTAGTCGCAGCTACTCAGGAGGTTGAGGTGGGAAGATTGCTTGAGCACAGGAGTTTGAGTTTGCAGTGAGCTAATCATGCCACTGCACTCTAGCCTAGGCTACAGAGCAGGACCCCATCTCCAAAAAAAAAAAAAAAAGGTCATTTAAAAACTGAAGAATGTTCTCTTCTTGCTCAGTTCCCTAAATTAGCTGGGGAGATTGGGACATTTTACAATTTTTATATTTTTAAATTTGAAGAATTTGTTTTAAACTTACTTGGTAATGGCAATTCTACTTACCAACTTTTCAGCTCTTTTTGACCAGGATGGTTGCAAATTAGGGAAAATATCTTTATACTCTATATCCAATCCAAGAGGACTGTAATTACTTAAAAGCATTTAGGTCATAATTAAAATTATTTTCACTGTTTCCATAAAATAAGCATTATGATTGCACACTCATTCTGTCTGAATTTACGTAAGAGGTATAGCTTGCTTAAAATACATATATATGTAAAGTTATATTTTCTTAGAAACATGGATGTTTGCAGCCATTGCTTTCAAAGAGATTATTACTGTGTATTCTCCCTGTTTTACAATATGTTTTCATGAAGACTTTGTTACACCAGAGGCTTCTGATTATGAAAGTGATAACCAGTTTTAACTGCCAGTATGTACCAGATTTGTGAACTAATTTAAAAAACCACGAACTATGAATAAAATGGAGTTTGCAAACTAAATATCATTAATGATTTTCACTTGTGTTTATTGATGAGATTAATCAATAAAGCCATTTACATTTAGTGAAAACAAATTTCCTCAAGTGATCTCCCTGGCAGCATGTTTACTCACTATGTGGAGTGGAGATAAGGATTACTTTATTGCTACAGATATTTTACAATTAGTATTTCTGTGTAAGTACATAGGCTATTTCAAGGACAATTTATTTAGCAATTATTTTGAAATTATATGTAAACATGCAAACAAATAAGAACCCAAGAGTATAAACTCTATGACAAAAGTCATGTATGCAAACATTAAGAACTCTTTCAGAAATGTGTATTTAAAATGACCAGAATTCCCAAATCATTTGAAAGCTGCCTGTTAAATGCCTCTTATCACTTCAACTTAAATGTTTGCTATATTAAATTCTTTATCCCTGAGTGCCTTCGACTTCCAATTATGTATTTTCAACTATTAATTTGCTATCCCATTATGTTAAAATTAAATATGTACATAACTCAAAATCTTTCACTACCAACTAATTTCTCTTTCTCAGTATCAGTGATACCACCATTCTAAGTCTCTCTACTTCAAACCTTTGAGTCTTGAGTCTCCTTTTCCATAATTTCCTTTATCCAATCTGTTTAGTAGAATTCAAGCTTGTTCTCTCAGGACTGATCTGACAAACCTAAACATTCCTAGCCCACCTCTGGTGTAAGCTTGCCATCTCTGGACTGTTTGAGCTATACATTCCTATAATTTAGCTACACTTAAGTCAAAACTGTATTCAGGGCACAAACTCACTATTCTGTGAAAAATGCAAAACAGGGTTTAAGCAAGCATACCTAAGTGCACAGCAGATCCTGCAGATCACCTCATACTTTATACCAAAGGCTAATTTAGATCCAGTTATTGTCAGGCCTCTGAGCCCAAGCTAAGCCATCATATCCCCAGCGACCTGCACGTATACATCCAGATGGCCTGAAGCAACTGAAGATGCACAGAAGTGAAAATAGCTTAACTGATGACATTCCACCATTGTGATTTGTTTCTGCCCCACCCTAACTGAGATGTACTTTGTAATCTCCCCCACCCTTAGGAAGTTTCTTTGTAATTCTCCCCACCTTTGAGAATGCACTTGGTGAGCTTCACCCCCTGCCCCCAAACATTGCTCTTAACTCCACCGCCTATCCCAAAACCTGTAAGAACTCATGATAATCCCATCACCCTTGCTGACTCCTTTTTCGGACTCAGCCCACCTGCACCCACGTGAAGTAGACAGCCTTGTTGCTCACACAAAGCCTGTTTGGTGATCTCTTCACATGGACGCGTGAACAGTTATTAAGTTCAAATGCAGCAAAAGCAGCAAGATATTTTAGCCAACTCAAAAACATTTTTATAATAATTTGTAAGTCCTGGACGGGCTTGTGGCTCACCCCTGTAATCTCAGCACTTTGGGAGGCTGAGGTGGGCGGATTACCTGAAGTTGGAGTTTGAGACCAGCCTTACTAACATGGTGAAACCCCCTATCTACTAAAAATACAAAATTAGCTGGGCATGGTGGCACGTACCTGTAATCCCAGCACTCGGGAGGCTGAGGCAGGAGAATCACTTGAACCTGGGAGGTGGAGGTTGCAGTGAGTTGGGATCATGCCACTGCACTCCAGCCTGGGTGACAGTGAGACTCCATCCCCAAATAATAGTAAAAATTTATAAGTCCTTTCACTAATTACAATTATTCTTCCATTGCTTCTTCCAATTGTTAATTCATAAGTTGTACATAATTGTAACAATATAATTGCCCTCCTCTTCATATTATTTCAAATAAGCCTTTTCATTTAATCTGGAAATTTTATATTTCTCAATTATATTGCTTACATACTATTCTGATAGGCAACTGTACCTGCTTAAACATTCCAATTTAAGTAGGCATGAAACAGTATATCCAATCTGTTTTACTTTTCCAAATTAATTGTTAGCAAGATTAGGATTTTTTTTTTTTTTTTTAATTTTTTTTTTTTAGAGATGGTTGTCTCACTATGCTGCCCAGGCCGGTCTCAAACTCTTGGGCTCAAGTGATTCCCCAACCTCAGCCTCTCAAGTATTGCTGGGACTACAGGCATGCACCACCGCTCCTGGCTAAAATCTTGTTTTAAACAATTTTTTCCTCCAACTTCTTCTTGTGTTCTTGGTGTTCTCTAACCATCTGTACACTGGGGAGGCGGTGATACACAGCATATGCTTCCTCCTTATTTAATGTCACCTTCAGTTCAGAAGCGATATGTTTCCTAATTAAAAGACAACTTTACAAGAGAAGCGTACCTAACAAAACGTCTAGGTGACTTTTTGTTCATTGATTCCAAAGACACAATCAGCCCCCGCTATTTAGTGGATACTAAGCTCTGGGGCTACATGGAAGAACCACGCAGACACTCTTCCTGCCTTCAACAGCTTACAGTTAAGTTTTGGTAGCAAACATTTGAAACATAACGAAGCTTTTGGTTACTTAAAAGAATTCTATGGTGTTAGGGGGTAACACAAACCTGTTTTGTAAACCTGTATCTTTATACAGGGAATATGCTTAATCTGCTACAGTATACAGGAATGCGGGAATGTTTCTTCCTCTGGGCTGCCTTTCGTACCACCTGGCTGGATGGAACACCTGTTCACTCCACTTTCCACTTGGGCTACAAACCTGAAATGAAATCTTTGCAACCAGTACAGCCTGCGCGGGGCGGGGCCCAGTCCTTCCCCCTTCGGATGCGCAGAAGCAGAGGTCACCACGCTGGACCCCTCGATTTCCTCGCGGGCGGTTCCCGGCTCCTTCACCACCCCAGCGCTTCAAGACCCCCGCCCTTTGGCCTGAGGCTCCCACTGCCCTAGCCAGTTCCCGGGCTCACTTCCAGCTTCTCCAGAAAGCTTGGCCACGCCCCTCGGCCCAGACTCTCAGGCCACTCGGCCGCAATTAACCCTCGTCTCGCTGCCTTTTTAGGCCCCTCCCTCTCAGTCGTGCCCTTCCCATGTCTTAGGCCCCGTCTCACCCTTTCGGATGCCTCCCCTAGGACCCTACCACTTTCCACCCCTTTCCGTCTGTTATTTGTCCCCAACTTGCGCCCGCACAAGCCCCTCTGGAACGCCCCTGCCGCGTGAGTGCCCCTCGTCCCCGCTCAGGAGAGGAAGAGCCTGCCTGCCGCGCATTTCTGGCCTGGGGAGCGGGTGGAGTAAACCTGCGGGAACCATTTTACGACAACGTGCGGCTGTGCGGCGTGGCTGACGGCAAAGCCGCGCTGCTGTTGGAGAGGTCACTCCGGAGACGGCGTTGGTGTTGGGGTGTGGGGGGTTGGTGGCACTATGTGGCGCGTCTGTGCGCGACGGGCCCAGAATGTAGCCCCATGGGCGGGACTCGAGGCTCGGTGGACGGCCTTGCAGGAGGTACCCGGAACTCCACGAGTGTCCTCGCGATTTGACCCGGCTCCGGCTCGTCGCAACAGCGCGACTACAGTGTATGGAGGGGTCCGGGCACTGTGCGGCTGGACCCCCAGCTCTGGGGCCACGCCGCGGAACCGCCTACTGCTGCAGCTTTTGGGGTCGCCCGGCCGCCGCTGTTACAGTCTTCCCCCGCATCAGAAGGTGAGCCCTAGACCCGCCCTTCTCGGATCCCCGTTGTCCTTCAGAGCTGACCGGATGCCTGCAGGATCCTCCTTGAGAGGCCTCATTGATCCTCCAACCATTCCCAGTATCTGCTTTGGTCCTTTGTCCAGTAGTCAGCTTTGGCTCCTTAGCTTCCCTCTCGTGATCTATTCCGTTGAAAGGGGAACTTCAAGACTGGGGCTGTATGCAGTTATCTGCCGAGGTTCATGCTTTGTGAGACCCGTAGGACCGTGGAGGAGAAAGCCTGTCGCTGGAAATTACTAACTTCTCATGGGCAGGAACTGCCTTGGTATCCCTAGTTCCCAGTGTGTAATGGAACTGGATACACTTTGCATGAAATTGAATTGAATGAAATCTTAAGCCAGACTGAGAGTTAGGTAGCCCTTTAAAAATTTAATGTTTCTTCTTTTTCTCTTCCAGGTTCCATTGCCTTCTCTTTCCCCCACAATGCAGGCAGGCACCATAGCCCGTTGGGAAAAAAAAGAGGGGGACAAAATCAACGAAGGTGACCTAATTGCAGAAGTAAGTTGTTTTAAAATAACGGAGATGAGTTCGAAGAGACTGGCTTTGCCGAATTGACTGAACATTGACTTTCTGGATGTGTAGTTACCCCTTTGTTTAAGAAACTGAAGTGTTTTTCACAACTTGATGTTAGACAAGATTGGTTGGATAAGTTGTCAGCCGCTGGCCAAACTGATACTTAGCCAAGGCGTTTCTAAAGTAATTCCTTCTTTCAAATCTGTCGTAGTGGCCTTATCGTCACATGAACTGTATCATTCTAGACACAGAGGCCAAGCTGGCCAACATGGTGAAACCCCGTCTCTGCTAAAAATACAAAAATCTGCTGGGCATGGCGGCCTCTGCCTGTAATCCTAGCTACTCGGTAGACTGAGGCAGGAGAATCGCTTGAACGTGGGACGGGGAGGTTGCAGTGAGCCGAGATTGCACCACTGCACTGCAGCCTTGGCGACAGAGTGAGACTCTCTGTCTCAAGAAAAAAAAAAATTCTAGACACAAGCTAATAAACTACATACCGACAGTATAAACCTGAGCTGCTGCTTTTTGTGTTAAAAGGTTGAAACTGATAAAGCCACTGTTGGATTTGAGAGCCTGGAGGAGTGTTATATGGCAAAGATACTTGTTGCTGAAGGTACCAGGGATGTTCCCATTGGAGCGATCATCTGTATCACAGTTGGCAAGTGAGTAGTGCACTCATAATTTATGGAACTTCATTGCTTGGTGGAGTATTTTACCCAGAATTGAGAATTAGGAGTTAAAGACTATTTTTTAAGACTACTTTTGTGAAAGTTGAATCTGCCTATTGTATTTATGCATTCTTTCTCTTCCTTAGGCCTGAAGATATTGAGGCTTTTAAAAATTATACATTGGATTCCTCGCCAGCACCTACCCCACAGGCGGCCCCAGCACCAACCCCTGCTGCCACTGCTTCGCCACCTATACCTTCTGCTCAGGCTCCTGGTAGCTCATATCCCCCTCACATGCAGGTGAGGCTCAGCCTTTGAGTGTTTGCTCTAGGTGATTTATTACTTACTTTTTTTCATAGATGGCTACTACATCTTGGAAACTGACTTTAAATGTGGTTAGTTAGGTCTTGTCATTTGGGAGTGTATAGAAATTTAAACATGAAGATTGACAACTTTCTTTTTTTTTTTTTTTTTTTTTGAGACGGAGTCTGGCTCTGTCGCCCGGGCTGGAGTGCAGTGGCCGGATCTCAGCTCACTGCAAGCTCCGCCCCCCGGGTTTATGCCATTCTCCTGCCTCAGCCTCCCGAGTAGCTGGGACTACAGGCGCCCGCCGCCTCGCCCGGCTAGTTTTTTGTATTTTTTAGTAGAGACGGGGTTTCACCGTGTTCGCCAGGATGGTCTCGATCTCCTGACCTCGTGATCCGCCCGCCTCGGCCTCCCAAAGTGCTGGGATTACAGGCTTGAGCCACCGCGCCCGGCCTGGTTGTTCTTTCCAGTTATAAGAACTTGAACAGTTCCTGTAACCTTTCTCAGCCTCAGTGTAGTACACAGGGTAATTCGTGGCACTTTTCATTCAAGAACATTACATTACAGATTTTGAGGATGATTTTTACTAACATCTATTCCCTGTATAATTAGAGTTTATAGTAGGCTGTGTTAGTCTGTTTTACTCTGGCATAAAGAAATACCTAGGGCTGGGTAATTTGTAAAGAAAAAAAGGTTTATTTGGCTCATGGTTCTGCAGGCTGTACAAGAAGCACGGCGCCAGCATCTGTTTCTCTTGTGGCCTCAGGAAGCTTACAATCATGGTGGAAGGTGGAAGGGAAAGGGGAAGGGTGGTGTGTCACATTATGAGAGAGGGTGCAAGAGACAGAGGGGAGTGGGTACCAGGCTCTTCATAGCAATCAGATTTCCCCTTAACTCATTACCATGGGGCATGCACCAAGCCATTCATGAGGGATCCTCCTCCAACACCCAGACACTTCCCACCAGACCCCATCTCTAACACTGGGGATCATATTTTTTTTTCCACGTAGAAAAAAACTTTATTTACACAATCTTGGATTCTGAATTTCCGATACTTCCAGGGTCTCTTGATCAAATGGGGCAGCAGCAGGTAGGGAAGCAAACACAGGGGCCAGTCCAGATTATCTTACTGAAGAACACCACCAAGAAGAAGGGAAGGCCTAATTCAGTTTTGGTCTGGACTACATCTCCTCGCACTTTGAGATCACCACAGGTAGCTTGGGCTTATTGTTAGGGCCTGTGGGAACATTCTCAATCTTTCTCATCACTAGAAGTCCATCGATGAGTTTTCCAAACATTATATGCTTCCCATCCAGCCAATCGCACTTAGAGCAGGTGATAAAGAACTGACAGCTGTTTGTACTGGAACCACTGTTTGCCACGGAAAGCAGGCCTGGAGCTGAGTGTCTTAAGTTTAAAATTTTTGTCTGCAAATGGCTCCACGTAATTACTGGCGACTCCAATACCATCTCCAGTAACAAAATCTCCACCCTGAGTCATGAAATCCTTTATGACCCTGTGGAAAGTGCTTCCTTTGTATCCTATTGGAACCCCATCTTTTCTGAATTCTCTAGTGTAGAACTGCGCAAAGTTCTCGGCCATCTTAGGCACAACTCTGCAAAGAGCTTGATCTTTGTGCGGCCAACTTCCTGACTGCCATTGCTGACATCAGGGAACACCATGGGGTTAGCAGGGCTTGAGGCTCCGACCGGGAAGCAGAAGTCGGGGATCGTATTTCAGCATGAGATTTGGAGGGAACAAACATCCAAGCTGTATCATAGGTGTCAAGTGCTGTCTGTTGAATGAAAGTCCCCAATTGGTGTTCTTTTGACATGTGGTGATCTATTTTCCAAGAGTAGGTGAAGTAATCCAGTAGTATTAATAAATGAGAAAACTGATAAAAATTAAGTGTAAGATACACATATGTAATAGCGTTGCAACGAAGTTGAAGGCAGTGAATGTAATCACTGTTGATTGTGCTAACTAAATCAGTTTCTAAGAAACTAAGTCAATTTATTAGGTATTAGGGTTATCTTCTGTATATTTGTGTGCTTTAGATGTTACAAGTGGATAAAAATCCAGCCATCCTTTTCTAAATAATTCTGACTAGCATTTCTCCTGAATCTAGTTTATTTGTAGAAATTTTTGTATAGGAATCATTTTCTTCTTTGGAAATAATGTTCTACTCCGTGGTTTGTTAGTAACAATCATTTAGGATTTTTGCCTGGTGTTCAGTTCACACATGTATTACATGCTGTTCGGCAGATTCTCTCTCATGATACAAGACTGACTTAATTTTCCTCTACTTTGTGCCTGTAGCTTTGTGTGCATGTGCTAGGGTTTTACCTTAATTATTCTTTAAGATACTGAATTGAATTCTGAATCTCTGATACTGTTCTTTAAGATCCTGTATAGAGATTATTGACTTCACTGTTTCTTTTTTTTTTTTTTTTTTTTTGAGCCTGTCGCCCAGGCTGGAGTGCAGTGGCGTGATCTTGGCTCACTGCAAGCTCCGCCTCCCAGGTTCACGCCATTCTCCTGCCTCAGCCTTCCAAGTAGCTGGGACTACAGGCGCCCGCCACCTCGCCCGGCAAGTTTTTTTGTATTTTTTAGTAGAAACGGGGTTTCATGGTATTAGCCAGGATGGTCTCAATCTCCTGACCTCGTGATCCGCCCGTCTCGGCCTCCCAAAGTGCTGGGATTACAGGCTTGAGCCACCGCGCCCAGCTGACTTCACTGTTTCTTAAGAAGCAGATGAAGATGGCAAATTCTGAACAAAAAAGGCACTTACAATTTTTTTTCTAAGGCTTGTCTTAATTTTTTCCCCTCTCTGGAAACATCTTCAATTGAAATTATTTTCCCCTCCGCATAATCCTGTTGCTAATCAGATACAGAAGACAAAGAGGATAGCAAATGAATCCAAATTCAGTGGACACACAAGCCATATAAATAGTAAAGCAATTTTAAATTTAGATAGGCATTCTGGTGTTTGGATTTTATTGGGGTGGAAATGGCTATTATAAAAACAGGGCTTTTTTTCCCCCTGGTTTTTTATTTATTTTTATTTATTTTTTTGAAACGGGGTCTCAGTCCATCACCTAGTCTGGAGTGCAGTGGTGCGATTTTGGCTCACTGCAACCTCTGCCTCCTGGGTTCAAGCGATTCTCCTGCCTCAGCCTCCCAAGTAGCTGGGAATACAGGCACACACCACCACGCCTGGCTGTTTTATTTTTTGAGACAGGATCTCACTCTTCACCCAGGCTGGAGCGCAGTGATGCAATCTTAGCTCACTGCAATCTTGACCTGGGCTCAAGCCATCCTCCCACCTCAGCCTCGCAAGAAGCTGTGACTACAGGCGCATGCCACCGTGCCCAGCTAATTTTTTTTTTTTTTTATATAGACCAGGTTACACCATGTTGCTCAGGCTGGTCGTGGACTCCTGGGCTCAAGTGATCCTCCTGCATCAGCCTACCAAAACGCTGAGATTGTAGGCATGAGCCATCATGCCTGGTCTTTCCTGTCTTTTTTTTTTTTTGACACAGTCTTGCTCTGTCACCATGGCTGGAGTGTCGTGGCACGATCTCGGCTCACTTCTACCTCTGCGATTCTCATGCCCCAGCCTCCTCAGTAGCTGGGACTACAGGCAGGTGTTACCACGCCCAACTAATTTTGGTATTTTTAGTAGAGGTGGGGTTTTGCCACGTTGACCAGGCTGATCTTGAACTCCTGGCCTCAAGTGATCTGCCCCTCCCAAGTGATTCTTGGCCTCCCAAAGTGCTGGGATTACAGATGTGAGCAACTGTGCCTGGCCTCCTCTTCTATTTTTTAAAATGATCATTGCGCCACTGCACTCCAGGCTGGGCAACAGAGTAAGACTCCGTCTCAAAAAAAAAAAAAATTATCAAATAAAATTCTATGTAAGAATTCTATGTATATATATTATATACAACAAGTTCTGAAATATGTATATATTGTGGAATGGCTAAATTGAGCTAATTTATATATGCATTACTTTACAGACTTATCTTTTAGGACACTTAAAAATCTACAAGATTGTGGGAATTTACAAGAATACAATATATTGTTATTAGCTGTTGTCACCAAAGAACAGTTTTTTGTTGTTGTTGTTTGTTTTTAATATGGAATGCTTCATGAATTTGTTTGTTGTCCTTGCACAGGAGCCATGCTAATCTTTGTATCGTTCCAAGTTTAGTATATGTGTTGCTGAAGCGAGCACAGAACAGTTCTTAATATTACGTTTTTATCTTGGAAAGATATCTGGGAAGATTGGGACAAATGCAGTTTCCTGTGGGTAAAAAATAAGTAGATGCTAAGTACAGAGCGCAGTAAAATTTTAACAGAATGGATTGGACCAAGGTCATTTTGTGAAAATGAAAATTTTCTTGGTTAAAAAAAAAAATGAAGTCTGGGTGCGGTGGCTCATGCCTATAATCCCAGCACTTTGGAAGGCCAGGGCGGGCAGATTACTTGAGGACAAGTGTTCCGAGACCAGCCTGGCCAACGTGGTAAAACCCCATCTCTACAAAAATACAAAAGTTAGTGGGCATGGTGGCACCTGCCTGTAATCCCAGCTACTTGGGAGGCTGAGGCAGGAGAATCACTTGAATCCAGGAGGTGGAGGTTGCAGTGAGCCGAGATTGTGCCATTGCACTCCAGCCTGGGTGACAGAGTGAAACTCTGTCTCAAAATAAAAATAAATATAAAAATAAAAATAGATGAAAAGATGCTCCATACTTAGATATTGAGGAATTAATTTTGACTGTCTGAAAGAAATCTTTCCCATCTGCTTGTTGCATTTAACTTGGAGTGTGTGTCAGAGTATGGGTGAGAGTATAAGAGTATGGGTCAGAGTATGAGATTTGAAGGATGATTTACCTGGTGGGAAGCTATTGAGGTGCGAAGCTTTTGCCGTGATGAGTATTTGGATTATCACAGTCACCATCATTCTATGAAAACTATATAAACCTGCCAGACTGTTATTATGTAGAAGTCGTCCTGGTATTAAGCAATAATATGTGTATGTTTCTACAGGTACTTCTTCCTGCCCTCTCTCCCACCATGACCATGGGCACAGTTCAGAGATGGGAAAAAAAAGTGGGTGAGAAGCTAAGTGAAGGAGATTTACTGGCAGAGATAGAGACTGACAAAGCCACTATAGGTGAGATTTCTTCAGCTCTTAATGGTTGAGGCACTGAGTTTCCCAATGAGGAAGAGGATTGCCATTCTTTCCTATAATGAGTGAGTGAGATAATATGAAAACTTTTTAATTCTTAGGATTCATTTTCTGGGACAGAATATTTTATTTCTATTTAGTTATATTTATTCTTAAGTTTTTATTTATTTGTTTATTTGCTTATTTTTGAGACAGGGTCTTAATCTGTTGCCCAGGCTGGAGTGCAGTGGCAAGATCATAGTTCACTATAGCCTCGAACTCCTGGGCTTATACCCAAACGATCCTCCTCCTTTAACCTCCTGAGTAGCTAGGACTACAGGCCTGAACCACCACACCCAGTTGATTTTTAAAATTTTTTGTAGAGATGGGGTCTCACTTTGTTGCCCAGGGTGTTTTTGAACTCCTGGCTCAAGTGATCCTCCTGCCTTGGCCTCCCTAAGTGCTGGGACTCCAAGCGTGAGCCCATGTTCCTGGCTGAGAATAATTTATAACAAAAATAATGTTTAGTCAGATTTGTCAATTCCATCCTGCAGTCATTGAATTAAAGGCAATAAATCTGTCAATTCACAGATTATTTTTAGGCCCAAGTTTGCTTCCTGGCCTTATTATGTTACTAAGAAGCTATATCAGAACTGCTGCTGTCTAAACTAGGCAAGGGAATGCAAGAAGAAACAGGAGAAAATCACTTCCATGGCAGGATAATAGGAAAGAATTTAAGATGACTTTGAGGGAAAACTGAAACCAGGGTTGAGATTGTTTTCGTAGTTTGAGAATGACTGATAGAATGTACATGTGTTTTTTTAATATATATATATATATATATATATTCAGAGATGTCATATGTCCATATATCTCCTTCTTAATTCATTTTTAGACTAAAAAATAAAACCCATGTAGACGGTCATATATTTATGATTTTTTTAAATGGATATTTGTAGGTATTATGAATTTTTTCTCTATGCACCTTTTTTTTTTTTTTTTTTTTTTTTTTGGAGACAGAGTTTTGCTCTGTTACCCAGGCTTGGGTACAGTGGTGCGATCTTGGCTCACTGCAAGCTCTGCCTCCTGGGTTCAAGCAATTCTCCTGCCTCAGCCTCCCAAGTAGCTGGGACTACAGGCATGCACCATAACACCCAGCTAATTTTTTGCATTTTTAGTAGAAATGGGGTTTCACCATGTTGGCCAGGCTGGTCTCGAGCTCTTTGACCTCAGGTGATCTGCCTGCCTCGGCCTCCCAAACTGCTGAGCTTATAGACATAAGCCACCGCACCCGGACACTCTGCTTCATAATCACCACTAAAGGAAAGCCTTTCCCAAAGATGTAATGGGAGATACTGGGCATCCTCTGTTGTGGTTGTTTTCAGATTGTGTTCTTCAAATCCCATCATTCCTTGAAGGCACCTTGGGGCAAAGGGGAAATTAAAGAGCAAGACCTTATAATGCCCTGCCTCCCTCCCTTACTTCCAGTAGAGCAGCTCTTTTTTATCTTTTTGTATTTTGTGCTTCCCCATAAATTTTATTTGAAGAAAGGATTCTGTTTCTTAAAAACACAGAAACTTTGGAAACAATAGTTCTGCTTCACCATTTAACTTGAATACCAGTGTCACTGTAGAGACTGGTCACTAGAGAAGTGTTACCTTGGTTGAACTTTGAAGTCTGTTGTGGCCCAGGATCCTTTTCATTTTAAACATTTTATTTATTTTTGAGATGGAGTCTCACTCTGTTGTCCAGGCTGGAGTGCAGTGGTGCAATCTCAGCCTATCACAACCTCTGCCTCCCGGGTTCAAGCGATTCTCCTGCCTGAGCCTCCCGAGTAGCTGGGACTACAGGTGCGTGCCACCACGCCTGGCTAATGTTTGTATTTTTAGTAGAAATGGGGTTTCACTATGTTGGCCAGGCTGGTCTTGAACTTCTGACCTCGTGATATGCCTGCCTTGGCCTCCCAAAGTCCTGGGATTACAGACGTGAGCCACCACTGCTCCCAGCCTTTTTTTTTTTTTTTTTTTGAGACAATCTTGCTCTGTCGCCCGGGATGCAGGATGGAGTGCAATGGCATGATCTTGGCTCACTGCATTCTCTGCCTCCCGGGTTCAAGCAATTCTCCTGCCTCAGCTGCCCAAGTAGCTGGGATTACAGGCGCCTGCCATCATGCCTGGCTAATTTTTTGTATTTTTAGCAGAGATGGGGTTTCACCATGTTGGCCAGCCTGGTCTTGAACTCCGACCTCAGATGATCCACCCACCTCGGCCTCCTAAAGTGCTGGGATAACAGGCGTGAGCCACCGTGCCCAGCCTTAAATATATATATGTATATATTTTCCTTTTTTTTGAGATGGAGTTTCACTCTTGTTGCCCAGGCTGCAGTGCAATGGCACGATCTCGGCTCACTGCAACCTCCACCTCCTGGGTTCAAGTGATTTTCTGGCCTCAGCCTCCCGTGCAGCTGGGATTACAGGCATGCGCCACCACGCCTGGCTAATTTTATATTTTTAATAGAGATGGGGTTTCTCCATATTGGTCAGGCTAGTCTTGAACTCCCAGCCTCAGGTGACCCACCCACCTTGACCTCCCAAAGTGCTGGGATTACAGGCGTTAGCCACCGCGCCTGGCCTAAAACATATTTTTTATTGGGTATTCTCAGTTGGGAAGTGGAAGGATTCATCAAAGAGAGGCACAACAGTACAGAAAGCCAATGGCTTCTTTTAGTTTTACTTTTGCAATCCTAAATGTTTGAGTTCTTTGCAAGGAAGGCAGTAGTTGAATAAAATGTAAGTTGTCAACACCATAGAAATCCTAGTAAAGCTGTAATTCTTCATATTGAAATATTTGGTATAATATCAAGTATAACCTCTTAGAAAAGTTCCAAGGATGCTTTTAGGGCTGAAATCCAACATTAATATCTAGGTTGGTAGGTCCCTTAATTTGGCACGTATGTGGTTCTTATCTTTAGCAGTATAGCTGACTTCCAACTCCATCTTAGAGTCTTGTGAGTCTGCATGGGGGCTGTCCTTGGAGATTTTTTAATAACTTTTAGAACTAACCACTACCTGTAATCTTTCATAGTTTTATTGAACACATATTTATTTATCATTTACTTTGGACCAGGTGCTATTTTGTACCAGGTCGTATTATTTCTAAGAACTTGAAAAATATTAAATCCGTTTAAATGTATAAACATCCCTGTGAGATTGGCACTATTATTATCCCCATATTGTAGGTAAAGAAACCAAGACACAGAAGGTTAAATAGGTTGCAAAAAAGGTTATATAGCTAGCTTGAATGAGAAAAATCATTTTACTTAAAACTGTGCTATGAGTTTGGAGGGATAGTGGAATCTCTGAAGTCCCATAATGTTTTTTCTTTCTATTTAAGGTTTTGAAGTACAGGAAGAAGGTTATCTGGCAAAAATCCTGGTCCCTGAAGGCACAAGAGATGTCCCTCTAGGAACCCCACTCTGTATCATTGTAGAAAAAGAGGCAGATATATCAGCATTTGCTGACTATAGGCCAACTGAAGTAACAGATTTAAAACCACAAGCACCACCACCTACCCCACCCCCGGTAGGTATGCTTCTAGAATTCAGGAAACACTTACCTTGTTTCTCTCTAAATTAAGGAGTTTTGATTAGATGATATCCTAGGTTCCTTCCACCTCCAAGATTCTATGACTGAGGAGGGAGATAGTTGATTAACCTTTGTGGAGACCTATAGTGTTTGTTGTACTGCATTGTTCACCTAATGGTCGATAGTTTGGGCCTTGTAGCTTTTTTTTTTCTGCCATCTAGAGTCCTGCTGAAAACAAAGCTGAGTGACATGCTCTCTTTCTGCTTTAGATGTAGATATCATGCTTGTGGAAAGTAAGGCTTCATTGCCCCAGCCCTTTTTTTTTTTTTTTAAAAGAGACAAGGTCTCACCCTGTCGCCAAGGCTGGAGTGCAGCGGTGCAGTCATAGCTCACTTCATTGCCCGTTTTTTATTAAATATACTGAATAATCTCTGTCACTTGAAATCCTCTTGTTATTCACGTAGTAGGTCAAGCATGTGTTTCTGATACAGTGGAACCTTGACATGACTTCTTTTGCATAGAATTTATTATATCACAAAATACTTTATAAACTATAACATGAACTTGCATTAACTCCAACCAGAGATAACACTGACAGTGAAGCTTCTGCAGATGCTAGAATCGTGAGTTTAAGCTAGGTAAACATTTCTGTAAGACAAAAGTTGATTTGTGACTACTGTACATTTGTGGGAAGCTGGCAAGTAGCATTGTTGTTGTATTTCTTTTTTTTGGTTTTGTTTTTTAATTGTTGTTGTTGAGACGGATTCTCACTCCATCGCCCAGGCTGGCTTGTAGTGGCGCGATCTTGGCTCACTGCAGCCTATACCTCCCGGGTTCAAGCCATTCTCCTGCTTCAGCCTCCTGAGTAGCTGGGATTACAGGCGCCAGCCACCATGCCTGGCTAATGTTTTTATTTTTAGTAGAGAAGGGGTTTCACCGTGTTGGCCAGGCTGATCATGAGCTTCTGACCTCACGTGATCTGCCCACCTCAACCTCCCAAAGTGCTGGGATTACAGGTATAAGCCACCATACCTGGCTATATTTTTTAAGATACTTTTCAACATGGGACCTTACAGCATAATTTTATATTTTGAAATTAGCTGGCTGGGTGTGGTGGCTCACGCTGGTAATCCCAGCACTTTGGGAGGCCGAGACGAATGGATCGCTTGAGGTCAGGAGTTTGAGACCAGCCTGGCCAACATGGTGAAACCCCATCTCTACTGAAAATACAAAAAATTAGCTGGTCATGGTGGTGCATGTCTGTAATCCCAGCTACTTGGGAGGCTGAGGCAGGAGAATTGCTTGAACCCAGGAGGCGGAGGTTGCAGTGAGCTGAGATTGCGCCACTGCACTCCAGCCTGGGTGACAGAGCAAGACTCTGTCTCAAAAAAATAAAAGAAAGAAAGATGTTAGGATAATTAAAAATAAAAATTATGTTGGTGATGTAAAAGAATGCAAATAAAGAAGTGGTAAGAGATTAAAGTGAAGAAAGGCCATAGGATACTAAACACTGATTGGCAATATTCAGTTCTGTGCTTCTTCATGTTGTTATGGAATAAAGAAACTTTGTTCTGTCTTTGACATAGATGTATATTGTTCTTGCTGTTCGTATTACTACATTATGTTGGTTAAACTGGAGAAAAGTACATTATGATCTTTGGAAAAAAGATGAAAGTTATTAATATTTAATTAAAATAGTTTTAATTTATTAATAAGATGTAAAGTTTTAATCTTTCAGACCAATCTTTGAAGTGGTGAATTAAAACAATTTGTAATTTTTTTTCAAAAGGTGGCCACTGTTCCTCCAACTCCTCAGCCTTTAGCTCCTACACCTTCAGCACCCTACCCTGCTACTCCTGCTGGACCAAAGGGAAGGGTGTTTGTTAGCCCTCTTGCAAAGAAGTTGGCAGTAGAGAAAGGGATTGATCTTACACAAGTAAAAGGTAAATCTGTTTCTATGGAATGGAATTATAAAGTTAAATTTAGTTGAATTTCCTCCTTAAGACTTGCAAGTATAACTATATATAGCCATACTTATAACTGGGATAGTAGGGACAACTGTTAATAATTACATCAGAAGGGAGAAATAGTTCTTTTGTTGCCACCACAGAGTAGGGAAACTTTTACTGAGCTTTATTTACTCTGCCTAGAATCTACCCATATACTTTAGATACCTTTTTTTTCCCTCTTCTCTTCATGGAAACTACTTGTTTGAAAGTATATGTACTTGTTCAGCAAAATTGGGTTATGGGACTTGATTGTGTAATAAGAAACCTCTGTTAGTGCTAGGTTGACTGTAGTAATAAGCAAAGCAAAATAAAATTTGAAATTGGGATGATTTGGAATGACTTAAAATGATAAACTTCATATAAAACAGAACTAGAGCTCCCTGAAGGCAAGGGAAAATGCCTTACTTGTCTGTGTGTCCCCAAAGAAAAAATATAGCTTTGTGATAAGAGTATGGGGCCTGGAATCAGACCACCTAGCGTTTCATCCTGGCTTTATAATTTTCTATGTAATCTGTTTTCCAGTGAATTACTTAAATTGTATGTCCTTATGTCAATTACTGTTCTAGCCATAAAACCGAGGTATTGTACATCATATAGATTGTGAGAGTTAAATGAGCTATAACAGGTGAAGTGCCTAGAACTGTATCTAGCATATAAGTACTCAATACATGTTTGTTGTCATTCATATTGATATTATTGCCTGGCGCTTAAGTAAGTTTTTTTGAGTTAAACCTAAGCTAAAATTTAGTGAAGGATGACTAAGGTACTTATTTGGAAAAGGAGGGAAGTTATTATTCTTGGAACTTGGTTTGATGGCTAGTACTATGTGCCAGTCATTTAACTTACCATACTTAATGTACACAACACTTCTTGAAGTAAGAATTATCATTCCCTATTTTCTGGATAAGAAAACAGACTCTCAGACTTTTCAGGGTTCTTTTTTCCTGTTAAATAGTAAAGTTGCAGTGTGACTCTAGATTTGTTTAACTCTAAAGCCTGTTTCTTCACACTACCCTATCCTGCCTTCCATTCTGATGCTCTGCCATCTGTAATTACTAAAGAAAAATATGCTTATTTCCCCAGTTGTCTAGTTATGGGTGCTCAGTGGTGGTTATCCCCTATCTGCAATTTGCTGTCTTGTAGTTAGAAGGCAAGCCAATCCCAAGACACAAGAGTAGAATGTTGTAAAGTTTTTGGACTTTAGAGATTCTTATAATATTGGAAGACTCTTTTTTTTTCCATCTTAGTACCATTTCAGTAGTATATTCCTATTCTTTATGTATATATGATTAGAATCAGGGACAGCAGTGTAAGTTGGAATAACTTTTAAAGGGAGAAAGGACTGGGTTAATAATTATATCTAAAGAATTTAGACAAGCAAAGAAGGACCATTTATTAAATATTAAGCAATTCTGGTTACCTTACTAAAGATATAAGTGGAAAATCCCTTAGGTGTGAGCTGAGGAGGAGTGTTAAGAAAAAAAAGAAGGAAAGAAAATCCCACTGTTCTTACTATGCAGGCAGAGTTAGGTGGTAAATACCATCGAATACTATCTACGCATCAGACACTCGTTCATCAGATGGATAAGATTTCAGTTTCAGTTGCTTATATGACTAACAGTAAAGAATTAAATGAACAGAAAGGGAGTATAGCATAGTGGTTAAAAGTGTGAGCTCTGTAGCTGGAATGCTTGGGTATGAACCTCAGCTCCTTATACTAGCTGTGTGACCTTTTGTGTCGGTTTCTATATAAATACAGTAGGTTTAATGGTTGTGAGGTTTCAATAAGTTAACCAGTGCCTGTACAGAGAAAGCATGTCTAGGTATTAGCTATAATGATAATATTTTTGTTAATAAGATGATGTAAGTGCTAAGAAAGAAAGAAACTCAGTGATACACTAGTGAGTGAAAGGGTGGATGGATATTTGTGCAGTCATGACTACTTTTAGACAGGGTGGTTGGGAGATCTTTTTGATGAGGTGACATTTGATTTGATCTGAAAGATAAGAAGGAGGCGGTTTCAGTCAACCATGTGAAGAACTGGGGAAAGATCATTTTAGATAGAGAGACTAGCTGTACACAGTCCGAAATGGGAAAGAGTTTAGCATGTCTGAGGAACATAAAAGAGGCCAGTGTTGGCCGGGCGTGGTGGCTCACGCCTATAATCCCAGCACTTTGGGAGGCCGAGGCGGGCGGATCATAAGGTCGGGAGATGGAGACCATCCTGGCTAACACAGTGAAACCCCGTCTCTACTAAAAATACAAAAAAAATTAGCCGGGCACAGTGGCAGGCACCTGTGGTCCCAGCTACTTGGGAGGCTGAGGCAGGAGAATGGCGTGAACCCTGGAGGCCGAGCTTGCAGTGAGCTGAGATCGTGCCACTGCACTCCAGCCTGTGCGACAGAGTGAGACTCCATCTCAAAGGAAAAAAAAAAAACCAGAGGTCAGTGTTAATGAAACATAATGAGCAAAGGGTCTAGTAGGAGATGAGATTGGAAAAAAACAGGGATGAGAACATACATGATCTTATAGATTATGGTAAAGAGTTTGAATTTTATTTAAAGTACTTGAGGAAGCCATTGAAAAATTTAAGCAAGGAAGTGAAATAAAATGATTGTGTTTTAAAAAGATCATTTTGGTTGCTCTATGGCAATGGATGAAACATTTATCTAGTTTATGTTTGACAAAATCCCTACTTTTTTTACCCATAGCCCAGTGTTCTTCCCTTTATACCATATTACTGTATGATGGCCTGTTGTGCCGCCCAAGAGAGATAAGGAAAAGGGTTTAAAAGGTTTCAACTAACGCCTGAGTCAGGAAATTCTTGTGGGTGGCAGAAGCTTAGCATAAGGCAGGCAGTACTATAGATTTCCTCCTCTTGAGGGGCTGTGGTGTCTAGATCAGCCTTGGTTGTAAGGGGAGGTTATGGTTTCTGTCTTTTATAAAGGAGAGAAATCCAACAGGGGTACTACTACCTCTGTTCTAGAGCTCCTGGTGAGAATAAATACAATCCTAGCCAACTCAGTTTTTGTAATGAAGGAAAGGACTTGGGAAGAACTACACACAACGAGAGTCCTTTTTAAAGTCTGTCTTGGGGGAAGATGAATCAATTTGACCAAATTTTTTCCTAGAAGTGGGCCAGTGTAAAAGGTATTATATAATAATAACTAAATTCTGAATCTCCTTAGAATTAAAGGTCAAGATTATCTACTTGGGTCCAAAATTAAACCTAAGAGGCTGTAGGTGGGAGGAAGGAGGAAATTGAATATAAGTAAAATTAAACCTACTGAGAGAACTTTGAAGATCCTTCCTCATGTGTGACATTGCACCTTTTCCCTTCATTTCCTTTAACCTGGGCCAGTTTAGAGCCTTGGCTACTGTGAAAAAGCTATGAATTATAGAGACCACATAAGGAATGAATGATTCTAAAGATGAGATAATCGCAGATAAGAGTTATTCATGCTATTTTGGGTTGAAAAAATTGACTTGATTTGCCAAAACAATTACTGTTATACCTGTAAATTCTGTACAAAAGGAATTCTTTATGGTCACATAAATCCAGAACCCAAATGAGATCTATGATCTATTTCATGGCTCAGGAATGGTTTTTTGGAGCTAACCAGGAGGAGGCAGTTAATTTCCCTTTTGGAGATATAAACGGTGCTCGGCATTATCTTCATGCCAGCATTTCCCAATTTAAAAGTAAGGAAGATGAAAAAAATTAAGTACAACTTGGATAAAACTCTAAAAGAGAAATACATAAAGGAATATTTGCAATAGTTAAAAAGAAAAGACCCACTCCAGATCACACACTGGTACTCTGTGTGGATTAAAATTAATAATTGACAAAAGCTGGTATTCATAGGGAGAACCTTAAGGGGTAGGGTTAAGGCTGTGATCCTTTCAGAATGTTTTTGGTAGTAAACCCTTAGGCGCTTGCAGTTTAGGATCACAGTGTTGATCTCCTTGGGGAACCAATGGTACGCCGTCATGTATGTGATATTTATGTCTCTTACAGGGACAGGACCAGATGGTAGAATCACCAAGAAGGATATTGACTCTTTTGTGCCTAGTAAAGCTGCTCCTGTGAGTTATGTGTAGCTCTTACTTTTTTTGCAGTTAGTCTCTGCAGCCTGTTAGACTATTTCATACATTATTTATGAATGAAATAGCTCAACCAAGACTGTTTTCTTCTAACTTCAGTGGTTTAATAATACAGTCATCCCTCAGTACCCATAAGAGGTTGGTTCCAGGAGCCCCCTTGTATACCAAAATTCACAAATACCTAAGTCTCTTATATAAAATAGTGTAGTATTTGTATATAACTTACCCACATCCTCTCAAATACTTTAAATCATCTCTAGATTACTTATAATATTAAATACAAGGTAAATGTGTAAATAGTTGTATTTTATTGCTTAGGAAATAATAACAAGGACAAAAAGTCTGTACTTGTGCAGTACAGATGTAACCATCTTTTTTTTCCTGGAATATTTTTGATTTGCCTTTGGTTGAATCCAGTGATGCAGAACTTATGGATATGGAGGGCCAAGTGTATTTAGATATTTGTGTGCTATCATTTGTATACAAGATCAAAGATGATATACTACCTTGACACATATTCCACATTATGTTTTGAGCTAGTTAATCAGTTTTTGCTTTGAAAAAAAAGATTTGTTCTTTTTTTCTGTTTCAAAATATTTTAAAGTACAGTTGAATGAGTTGTTTTTGGTGTTTGGTTTTTTTGTATGTTTGTTTTTGAGACAGTCTCACTGTCGCCCAGGCTGGAGTGCAGTGGCACTATCTTAGCTCACTGCAACCTCCGCCTCCTGGATTCAGGCGATTCTCGTGACTCAGCCTCCCAAGTAGCTGGGACTACAGGTGCATGCCACCACACCTGGCTAATTTTGGTATGTTTAGTACAGACAGGGTTTTGCCATATTGGCCAGGCTGGTCACGAACTCCTGGCCTCAAGTAAGCCATCGTGTCCAGCCCCCATCCCCATTTTTTAACGTTGTTTAGGTTAATGGATTAACTTGTTTATATTTATTTATTATTCCTTGTGATTTAAGAATGCTTCGATTGCTTTTCTTGAACATAATTTTGCAAAAACAAAATTATTTTGACATAAACTGGTCATTGAACATACTCTGACACAAAGAAAAATGACATTTAAAATATGATTTCAGAATTCTAAGTAAAAAATTAAAACTCTTAAAACAAGCAGAGGTCTCTTTTGCTCGCTGGGGACAGAAATAGCTATTGTATAAAGCTTAGTTTTTAGACTGGCCATGGTGGCTCATGCTTGTAAACCCAGCACTTTGGGAAGCCAAGGTGAGTGGATCACTTGAGCCCAGGCATTTGAGACTAGTCAGGGCAACATGGCTAATTTCCATCTCTACTAAAAATACAAAAAAATTAGCTGGGCATGGTGACGTGCACCTGTATTCCCAGTTACTCTAGGGGCTGAGATGGGAGGACTGCTTGAGCCCAGGAGGTTGAGGCTGCAGTGAACCGTGATTGAGCCACTGCATTCCAGCCTGGGTGACAGAGCAAGACCCTGTCTCCAAAAAAAAAAAAAAAAAAAACTGCATAGTCACTGGCAGTCTTTCCCAGGTACTTATGCTAAGATTGAGCCATAGTTACTGAGAACTTTTTCTTTCCTCCCATAGGCTCCAGCAGCTGTTGTGCCTCCCACAGGTCCTGGAATGGCACCAGTTCCTACAGGTGTCTTCACAGATATCCCAATTAGCAACATTCGTCGGGTAAGAGAATTACCATCATCTGGAATCAGCTATTAGGGGCATCTTTACTCTAGTTGTTTAGTTGCTTCCATAGTTTTAACACATTAACAGAGGCTTTTTAAGTTGGGAATATTAGACGATTACTTTAAGGGAAGTTTTGGCCAACTGAATACTTGAATCCATTTGTTCTATTAGAAGGGCCAGGTGCAGTGGCTCATGCCTGTAATCCCAGCATTTTGGAAGGCCAAGGTGGGTGGAACACAAGGTCTGAACTTCAAGACCAACCTGGCCAACATAGTGAAACCCCGTCTCTACTAAAAATACAAAAATTAGCTGGGCATGGTGGCGCATGCCTGTAGTCCCAGCTACTCGGGAGGCTGAGGCAGGAGAATTGCTTGAACCTGGGAAGTAGAGGTTGTGGTGAGCCGAGATCGCACCACCGCACTCCAGCCTAGGCAGCAGAGCGAGACTCCATCTCAAAAAAAAAAAAAAAAAGAAACCTAGGAGGTGTTATATTATGGCGGAGTCCTCCGTCTTTCAATTATAATAATGCTTGAGGTAAGTATTACCAGAGAGTAAGGTGAAGAGACAAACAGAGCCCTGAATTAGTTAAGGTCTTAACTCAAGATGATTTTTTTTAAATCTCTTTGGTTTCAGGTTATTGCACAGCGATTAATGCAATCAAAGCAAACCATACCTCATTATTACCTTTCTATAGATGTAAATATGGGAGAAGTTTTGTTGGTACGGAAAGAACTTAATAAGGTAAAAGGTCTGAAAATTCCAACTTTCTAAGTTACAAAAATTTTGTCTTTCCCCGCCAAACATTTATATTTTTGTCTATATATTTTGTTACAGTATGCCAGCTGGTGTTTACTTTCTTGATCTTGTCCTTTGAAGCACAAGATTTTAAATATTGGTTATGTCCACTTTATTTTTTTCTTCTGTGCTTTTGGTATTATATCTAAGAAACTATTACCTAGTCTAAGGTCATAAAGATTTATACTTATATTTCCTTGTAACAGTTTTATAGTTTTAGTTCTTATATAGGTCTTTGCTGTATTTTGAGTTAATTTTTTGTAGGTAGTGTGAGATAGGAATCTAACTTCATTGTTCTGCACGTGGACATTTATTCTTTCATCCCAGCACCATCTTTCCCCATCGAATTATCTTGGTATCCTTGTCAAAATTAATCATATATGTGAGAATTTTATTTCCAGATTTTTTTTTTTGATCTTGTTATTTTTTGTTTTGTTTTGTTTTATTATACTTTAAATTCTGGGGTACATGTGCAGAACGTGCAGGTTTGTTCCATAGGTATACACGTGCCATGGTGGTTTGCTGCACCCCTCAGCCCGTCATCTACATCAGGTATTTCTGCTAATGCTATCCCTCCCCTAGCCCCTCGTCCCCCTATATATAGGTCCTGGTGTGTGGTGTTTCTCTCCCTGCATCCATGTGTTCTCATTGTTCAACTCGCACTTACAGTGAGAACATGCGGTGTTTGGTTTTCTGTTCCTGTGTTAGTTTGCTGAGAATGATGGTTTCCAGCTTCATCCATGTCCCTGTAAAGGACATGAACTCATCCTTTTTTAATGGCTGCATAGTATTCCATGGTGTATATGTGCCACATTTTCTTTATCCAGCATATCATTGGTGGGCATTCGGGTTGGTTCCAAGTCTTCGTTATTGGGAACAGTGCTGCAGTAAACATACGTGTACATGTGTCTTTATAGTAGAATAATTTATAATCCTTTGAGTCTATACCCAGTAATGAGATTTCAGGGTCAAATGGTATTTCTGGTTTAGATGCTTGAGGAATTGCCACACTGTCTTCCACAATGGTTGAACTAACTTACACTCCTACCAACAGTGTAAAAGCGCTCCTATTTCTCCACATTCTCTCCAGCATCTGTTGTTTCCTGATGTTTTAATGATCGCCATTCTGACTGGTGTGAGACGGTATTTCATTGTGGTTTTGATTTGCATTTCTCTAATGACCAGTGATGATGAGCTTTTTTTCATATGTTTGTTGGCCGCATAAATGTCTTTTTTTGAGAAGTGTCTGTTCATATCCTTTGCCCACTTTTTGATGGGGTCGTTTGTTTTTTTCTTGTAAATTTGTTTAAGTTCCTCGTAGATTCTGGATATTAGCCCTTTGTCAGATGGATAGATTGCAAAAATTGTCTCCCATTCTGTAGGTTGCCTGTTCACTCTGATGATAGTTTATTTTGCTGTGCAGAACTTCTTTAGTTTAATTCGACCCATTTGTCAATTTTGGCTTTTGTTGCCATTGCTTTTGGTGTTTTAGTCATGAAGTCTTTGCCAATGTCTATGTCCTGAATGGTATGGCCTAGGTTTTCTTCTAGGGTTTTTATGGTTTTAGGTCTTACATTTAAGTCTAATCCATCTTGAGTTAATTTTTGTATAAGGTGTAAGGAAGGGGTCCAGTTTCAGTTTTCTACATATGGCTAGCCAGTTTTCCCAACACCGTTTATTAAATAGGGAATCCTTTACCCATTTCTTGTTTCTGTAGGTTTGTCAAACATCAGATGGTTGTAGATGTGTGGCGATATGTCTGAGGCCTCTGTTCTTCTGTTCTGTTCCATTGGTCTATATATCTGTTTTGGTGCCAGTACCATGCTGTTTTTGTTACTGTAGCCTTGTATTGTAGTTTGAAGTCAGGTAGCATGATGCCTCCAGCTTTGTTCTTTTTGCTTAGGATTGTCTTGGTTATATGGACCCTTTTTTGGTTCCATATGAAATTTAAAGTAGTTTTTTTCTAATTCTGTGAAGAAAGTCAATGGTTGTTTGATGAGGATAGCAATGAATTTATAAATTACTTTGGGCAGTATGGCCATTTTCATGATATTGATTCTTCTTATCTGTGAGCATGGAATGTTTCTCCATTTGTTTTTGTGTTCTCTCATTTCCTTGAGCAGTGGTTTGTAGTTCTTGAAGAGGTCCTTCACATCCCTTGTAAGTTGTATTCCTAGGTTTCTGGTTTCTTTCACCCCAGCACCATCTTTCCCCATCGAATATTTATCTTGGTATCCTTGTCAAAATTAATTCCAGGTATTCTGTTCTCTTTGTAGCAGTTGTGAATGGGAGTTCACTCATGATTTGGCTGTTTGTCTGTTATTGGTGTATAGCAGTGCTTGTGATTTTTGCACATTGATTTTGTGTCCTGAGACTGCTGAAGTTGCTTATTAGCTCAAGGAGATTCTGGGCTGAGACGATGGAGTTTTCTAACTATACAATCATGTCATCTACAAACAGAGACAATTTGACTTCCTCTCTTTCTATTTGAATACTCTTTATTTCTTTCTCTTGCCTGATTGCCCTGGCCAGAACTTCCAATACTGTGTTGAATAGGAGTGGTGAGGGGGAGAGCATCTTTGTCTTGTGCCGATTTTTGAGACTGAGTCTCACTCTGCCCAGACTGGGGTGCAGTGGCGTGATCTTGGCTCACTGCAACCTCCACCTTCCAGGTTCAAGCAATTCTTGTGCCTCAGCCTCCCAAGTAGCTGGGATTACAGGCATGAGCCACCATGCCTGGCTAATTTTTATACTTTTAATAGAGACAGGATTTCACCATGTTGGCCAGGTTGGTCTCGAACTCCTGACCTCAAGTGATCTACCCACCTCGGCCTCCCAAAGTTTGGGATTACAGCCATGAGCCACTGTGCCTAGCCTATTTCCAGATTCTTAATTCCATTCCATTAATCTCTGTATACCCTTATGTCAGTACCATAGTCTTGATTACTTTAGCTTTGTAATAAGTTGTAAAATCGGGAAATGTGAGTCGTCTTTGTTCTTTTTTCTCAAGATTGTTTTGTCTGAGTCCCTTGCAATTCTAAATGAATTTTAGGATTAGCTTGTAAATTTCTACATTGAAGCCAGTTAACATTTTGATAAGGATTGATTGGATGTGTCTGCTGATCAATTTGGCAAGTGTTGCCATCCGAAGAATACTGTCTTTTCATCCGTGAACCTGTAGATGCCCCTGTATTTAGTTGAGTGTTCTTCAGTCTCTTTTAACAATTTTTTTATAGTTTTTCAGAGTGTAAGTTTTGCACTCTGAATTTGCATTTGTTAAACTTATTCCTAGGTATTTTATTCTTTTAAATATTACTCTAAGTGGAATTGTTTTCTAAATTTCATTTTCAGATTGTTCATTGCTACTATATAAAGGTATGATTGATTTTTTTTTAAGACTAGTCAGCTATACTAGTGAGAAGTGGGGAAAGAGTAGAAAAGGAGTTATATGTATAACTGACTCTGAGCAATCAATCGAGATAACAATTGATTTTTCTATATTGATCTTTCTTTTTGTATGCCTGCTGGAATGGGATCTATATTGACCTTGTATCCTGCAAACTTGCTGAAGTTCTTACAGTTTTTTAGTGTATTTCTTAGGATTTTCTGTAAACAAGATAATGTTATCTGCAAATAGAGATAATTGTACTTTTTCCGTTTTGACTTGTATGCCTTTTATTTCCTTTCTTGCCTAATTACTCTGGCTGGCACCTCTAGCCAATATTGAATAGATGTAGCAGAAGTGGACATCTCGTCTTGTTCTTGATCTTTGGGAGAATAAGTCTTTGATCATTAAATAGTTGTGAGGTTTCCCTAGATCAGGTTGAGCAAGTTCCTTCCGGTTCCTGGTTAGTAAGAGTGTTTTGATCATGAAAAGGGGTATTGAATTTTATCAAATGCGAATTTTATCAAATGCTTTTTCTGTGTCTGTTGAGATGGTTATGTGTTTTTTGTCTTGTATTCTATTAGGACATTATTACGTTAATTGATTTTTCAGATGTTAATGGAGATTTGCATTCTTGGGATAAATCACATTTGATCATGGTGAATGATCCTTTTTATACATTGCTGGATTTTATTTGCTAGCGTTTTGCTGAAGATTTTTACATCTATATTCGTAAGAGATTATTGTAGGTTTTTTTTTTTTTTTTTCCTTCTAATGTCATCTTTGGTTTTGGTATCAGGCTAATACCGGTCTTATAGAATGTGTGGGGAAGTGTTTCTTGCTCTTCTTTGATTTTTCTTTAAAAGAATTTGTGAGGAATTGATACTCTTGTTTAATGTTTGGTAGAATACTGATGAAGCCATTTGGGTCTAAGCTTTTCTACGTGGGTAGTTTTTAAATTACCAGTTCAATCTCTTTGTTAGTTATAGGTCTATTCGGAGTTTTTGTTTCTCCTTGGTTCAGTTTTGGTAGCTTATGTCTGTATGGTCGTTCATGGTATTCCCTATAATTCTTTTTACTTCTGTAAGGTAGATAGTAATGTCCCCTATTTCACTCCTAATTTTAGGAATTCTGGTCTTCTCTCCTCTTCTTGGTCAGTCTAACTAAACATTTATCATTGTGGTTGTCATTTGGTTGATCTTTTCAAAGAACCAAATTTTGTTATTGTTGAGATGAATGAAAATTATGACATAATATACCATAACTTATGGGATATGCTAAAGCAGTACTTACCAGAAAACAGCTGTAAGAGTCTGCATTTAAAAAGATGAAGGAACCAATGTTTGGTTTCATTTGTTTCTTTCTACCTCAGGGTATTTGTATATTCTCTTTCTCCTCCTCCTTTTCTCAAGATTATACAGTTTTACTCTTTGGTGAGAGAATTTAGAAACTACAGTTGTCCGGGGAGGGAGAGCATTAGGAAAAATAGCTAATGCATGTGAGGCCTAATACCTAGGTGATGGGTTGACAGGTGCAACAAACCACCGTGGCACATGTTTACCTATATAATAAACTTGTACATCCTGCACATGTACCCTGAAACTTAAAATTAAAATTAAAAAAAAAAAAAAGGAAACTACAGTTGTTCTTGTCTTTCCAGATTTTAGAAGGGAGAAGCAAAATTTCTGTCAATGACTTCATCATAAAAGCTTCAGCTTTGGCATGTTTAAAAGTTCCCGAAGCAAATTCTTCTTGGATGGACACAGTTATAAGACAGTAAGTATAACTGGGGACGGTATATATCTATCACTAGTTTTCTTATTTAATATGTGAATAGGAGTTGAGGGGATAAGGATAAATGGAATACAGAGAGGCAGATCGCTTACATAGGTCAAACAACTTGAAAACAACACAAAAATATTTATGAGATACTGCTTTTTACTTTTTTTCCTTTCTGGCTCCAATTTTCAACCTTGTTTTTGTTGTTGTTTTTTATTTATTTTTTAAAGAGACAGGGTCTTGCTCTGTTGTCCAGGCTGGTCTTGAACTCTTGGGGTCAAGCAGTTCTACAGCGTTGGCCTCCCAAAGTTCTGGGATTTCAGTTGTGAGCCACTGTGCCCAGCCTGAGATACTGCTGGATTTAGCTTGTAAAGGCTGTAGATTCTTTGTATGAGTTCAGCAAAGGGAGATTAGTGAACAAATACGTGTAATTAAGTTGATAATGACTGTCACAAAGTAGGGTTAAATAGATGATTTTCATTCACCCATGAGTTCTCCTGAGCTTCAGGGGCAAAATTAAAACGAGTACTTGTTAATATTATGATGGTATAGAGTAGTATGGTACTCATTGTGTCTCTTTTATCTCATTTAATTCTCATGACCACCTTATGATATAAGTGCTTTCACTTCCATCTCTAGATGAAGAAACTGAGGCTCAGTGAGTTAAGTAACTTGCCCGAGTTAATAAGTTAGTGTTAGGGCTGTGATTAGAACTAAGATTCTGACTCCTAAGCCTATTCGTTTTCTAATGTGTAGATGCTTTTATGTTATTCTTATTCTGAAAGGAAACAAACAAACATTTTTCCTTTGTACTCTACTGTCACACAGTCACAGCACCAATTCTGTGACCAGATGAGTAGAGGCAGGGGTGGGGAGGGTTTCCCCACACACCAGCCAAGCAGTGAATTCCTCTAATTCAATTAAATTCAATTTTGGTGCTGTCTACCTGTAGATAGTGTCAGATCCCAAAGATTGAGGGCTCAGTCCTACAAGACTGCCCTCACTTCAGATGCCAGTCAAAAGTGTAGGCCACTCATACTTGTAACTGACTGGCTACAAACTGGTTCCTGTGACCTCTTTCTTGGGTTTGATTAACTTGCTAGGACAATTCACAGAATTTGGGGAAACACTTATGTTTATTATAAAGGATATTGCAAAGGATACGGGTGAACACCAGATGAAGAGATGGCTAGGGCGAGGTATGAGGTGGGGTGGTGCAGAGCTTCCGTATCCTCTCTGGGCATACCACCCTTCCAGTACTTCCACAGTTCAGCAACTGGAAGCTCATTAAATCTTGTTGAAGAGTCTTGATAGAGGGGGCTGGGGAGAAAAAGGAAAGGGGAAAAAAAAGTCTTTGTAGAGCTTGATCTCCAGGATCTCCAGCCTGCATCTCCCTCCCCTGTCCCTTAGGTCAGTAGGTAGAGCTAAAAGTTCCAACTCTCTAATCCTCTAGTCATTTTGACCCTTCTAGTGACTGGCCCTGTCCTGAGGTTACGCAGGGATCCTGCCGTAAATATCCACAATGGAGCTTATTATATAAGGGGCTCGTTATAAATAACAAAAGATACTCCTATCACTCAGGAAATTCCAGTTTTAGAGTCTCTATGACAGGAACTGGCAACATGGGAACAAAGACCCAAGTATATATTATACCACACTTACTAATATTTATTCATATTTTAGGGCCGGGCTCACACCTATAGTCTCAGCACTTTGAGAGGCCGAGGCGGGTGGATCACTTCAGGTCAGGAGTTCAAGACCAGTCTGGCCAACATGATGAAACCCTGTCTCTAGTAAAAATACAAAAATTAGCTGGGTCCCGTGGTGGTGCGTGCCTGTAATCTCAGCTACTTGGGAAACTGAGGCAGGAGAATTGCTTGAACCCAGGAAGCAGAGGTTGCAGTGAGCTGAGATTGTGCCATTGCAGTCCAGTCTGGGTGATAAGAGCAAAACTCTACCTCAAAAAAAAAAAAAATTTTAATATGAAATTTAGGTTGGAATACTGTTCCCTTAATAAGAGATCAGTTCCCAGGAGGCAAACACAACGGTTTTTTGTGTTTTTTTTTGGGGAGACAGAGTCTCTCTCTGTCACCTAGGCTAGAGTGCAGTGGCACGATCTTGGCTCACTGCAACCTCCGCCTCCCAGGTTCAAGCAATTCTCCTATCTCAGCCTCCCAAGTAGCTGGGATTACAGGTATGAGCCACCACTCCCAGGTAATTTTTTTGTATTTTTAGTAGAGATGGGGTTTCACCATATTGGCCAGGCTGTTCTTGAACTCCTGACCTTGTGATCTGCCACCTTGGCCTCCCAAAGTGCTGGGATCACAGGCGTGAGCTACCATGCCTGGCCCTTAAACACAACTTTTAAACTATTGTTTATTCTGGTATTTATTTACCTGCAGATTTCCAAATATTTTTCTGTTGCCTTTTATGAGTTTTTCATTTATTTTATTGACTGACTTCCTGTTAAAGAACATTAATATTTAGCTTTAGCTCCAGTCTTGGGACTAGAGAGAAAAAAAAGGTAGCTTTGTTATGCCCTTCCTACATACACACACATAACATCATCCTCCCAAATTGATTATAGCAGAAATAATCCATATTTGGGGCTGGGCAAGGTGGCTCCCACCTGTAATCCCAGCACTTTGGGAGGCCAAGGCAGGTGGATCACCTGAGGTCAGGAGTTTGAAATCAGCCTGGCCAACATGGCGAAACCCTGTCTCTGCTAAAAATACCAAAAAAAAAACCATTAGCCAGGTGTGGTGGTGCACGTCTGTAGTCCCAGCTAATCGGGAAGATGAGGCAGGAGAATTGCTCGAACCTGGGAGGTGGAGGTTGCAGTGAGCCAGGATCGCGCCACTGCACTCCAGCCTGAGTGAGAGTGAGACTGCATTTCAAAAAATAACAAATAAATATAAATCTATATTTGGTTAACTTTTTTTTTTCTTTGAGACGGAGTCTTGCTCTGTCCCCCAGGCTGGAGTGCAGTGGTGCGATCTCAGCTCACTGCAAGCTTCGCCTCCTGGGTTCATACTATTCTCCTGCCTCAGCCTCCCGAGTAGCTGGGACTACAGGTGCCCGCCACCTCGCCCGGCTAATTTTTTTTTGTATTTTTAGTAGAGAAAGGGTTTCACCGTGTTAGCCAGGATGGTCTCGATCTCCTGACCTCTCGGCCTCCCAAAGTGCTGGGATTACAGGCTTGAGCCACTGCGCCCGACCTGGTTAATCTTTTTAGAGTATGTGTGTGTCCAGTGTTAATATTTGTATGCCTATGAAAATAATTGTGTATTACTAAGACATGTATTATACCATGAATGCTAACCTAATTGATTTTAATAATTGCTTTAGGGAAGGCTAGTTTTCTATGTACATGTGAATTCTTTCTGAAACTCCACAAGCTAGGAGGGGAGTTTCAGAAACCATTAAACCATTTCTTAATCTGATCAAACCTGTTGGGTAAACTCTTGGTTCTAACTTTTCCTTGGTCATTCTTCTCTTGGAGAACATCTGGGCATATAATATTCTTTATAAACTGTATAGTTTTCTAGGGCTACCATTATTAATGACCACAAAATTGATGGATTAAAACAAATTTATTCTCTCACAGTTCTGGAAACAAGTCTGAAATCAGCGTTTCAGTAGGGGCAATGCATTCCCTCCAAAGACTATAGAGAAGAATCCTTCCTTGCCTTTTCCAGTTCTGGTGTTTCTAGGCATTTAGTGGTTTGTGACTGCATAACTCCAGTCTCTTCTTCCATCTTTACATGGCCTTCTCCTCTGTGTCTGTATTTTCTCTTCTCTTAAGAGGACTGTTGGCATTGGATTTAAGGTCACTCAGATAATACAGGATGATCTTATCTCAGGATCCTAATTATACCTCCAGAGACCTTTTTCCAAATAAAGTCACATTGATAGATTCCAGGGATTAGGACAAAGACTTATCTTTTGGAGGGCCACCATTCATCCCACTAAACAGACTTTAAATTAGTCTTCCTGTTTTCAGCATTATTCATATTACTGACTCACGGAGAGTTTTCTGGAGCCTGGCAGAAATAGCTTGCTTAAGGCATTGACAGTTTTCAGTAATACATTCAAGGCCTATTTTTAACTATTGTACCTCTCTAAACCCCTCTTCTTGTGGTATTCTGAGTTAGCCACTGTTACTGAACATACCTTTCAGTTATCTCCTTTTAGGATGCTGTTTGGGCTTTCCTGTTCCTTGCTTTTAGATGCATTCCTTTTCCATGCTATGGTCACCATGATGATTGTCACAGCAGCAAACATTCAAGGAATTTATATTCCTTAAATATAAATACAGGATACTTAAAATCTAGATAGAGGCAGGTTTTTTTTTTTTGTTTTTTTAAATATTCCTTTAATTCCCCTCTGTGCCAGCATATGGACACTTTTTTTTTTTTTTTTTTTTGAGGTGGAGTCTTACTCTGTTGCCAGGCTGGAGTACAGTGGTGCTATCTCGGTTCACTGCAACCTCCGCCTCCCAGGTTCGAGCGATTCTCCTGCCTCAGCCACCTGAGTAGCTGGGATTATAGGCACACGCCACCATACCCAGCTAATTCTTGTATTTTTAGTAGAGATGGGATTTCACTGTGTTGGCCAGGATGGTCTCAATCTCTTGACCTCGTGATCTGCCTGCCTCAGCCTCCCAAAGTGCTGGGATTTTGGCATGAGCCACTGTGCCTGGCCGCATGTTGACACTTTTTAACACTTTAATTTGCCATCTTACATATCATAAAATGTACCTGCTCTAAGTGTACAATTTCTTGATTTTTGTTGAAGGTACGGAATTATGCAGTCTTTACCACAATCTTATTTTAGAAATTTCCATCACCCCCAGAAGATCACTCATGCTTATTTATAGTAAATTCTTATTTTCACCTTCAGCCCCTGGGCAATCTGTTCTAGTGCTTGAATCTATAGATTTGTATTTTCTAGACCTTTTATAGAAATGGAATCATAGGCCGGGCGCGGTGGCTCAT